AAAGTGAGAGATTTCTTCTCCCTTATTCATCTAAAGAAGGAATTGTGTGGAGTTGTGTGGAGTAATTGTGTGGAGTTGTAAAGAGAGAAGATAATTCAAAGGAACTTCAAGGGATTTTCTTAGGGAAGAACTTGAGACAAGTTGTATTTACTTCTTATGGTTGTATGACATTGCTTTTAAATATAAAATCCTTATTTTGTTGTATCGTCCTCATGAGTTTTGAGTAAATTTCTTTGTCTTTCTCCTTGCAATGAGATATGGTGATGTGATGATTTAGATTGATTGTGCCGTTTAGACAACTTTAAATGTCAAAAATTTGGATGATTTTACACTTAGTGTTTCATTTACTTTTCAGTATGACCAATTGAATTGTTAAGATTTGTTGTGAATCATATGATCCGGAAGGGCTATGTATTCCACAACAATAGTGATGATCGCATTCAAATCTCATAGATTGTAAAGTTCATGGGTGTTGAATGCAAATAAATAGGGAAATATATTTTATTGGGCGAAATATAGGAAATATATTTTATTGGGCGTAGAATTGAAGATTTTAGAGTGACAGACTAAAATCCCCAATTTGGTTCTAGTGTTTGTAAACTAAAGCAATAGCTAGCCTTCATAGGAAGGAAAGTGGGAGCTCTGGAGTGACAGCCAGTATCCTCGTAGCTGAGCTATTGATTTAGGAGATAAACTTAGGATTAGACAATGTTCTTTATAGCACTTGAAAGAGGGTAAAGAACATGAATGCTCTTATTTGACACAACACAATATCCTACTAATCTTTATCTTTCACTCACCACAACATCATTGTAAGGGGTAGGACATCTTCTCCATATTTGAAACTTGCAACACAAAAACTTAGTTTGGGGTTAGATAACTTGCTTAGAAGCTCTTTTTATCATTTTCATCATTATTAAAATTATTAAATTTAATCATCTTTATACTATTAGTAACTTTAATATTTTTTTTATGTGCATTATGAATTGGATATTGGCTTTCTTATTGGCTTTCTGCACTTCGTTTTGCATTTTAAAGTTTCGTTGTATTCCCTGTGGGATCGATAATAAGAACTCCACTAGAGCCTTGTATTAATTGAGCGATACATATACCATATACTTGCAGATACATATACTTGCATTCATAACTACGACAAAAGAGAAGATATAAAAATTAAATTAGAAACCGAGCATTTAGAAAGTTGCGGCCAACAACTAAGCCATTATTGAATTGATTAACGACCCTCTAATCCCAGTGAGAGGCCCAAAAGTTGATGGTTGTGTCAAAAATGAAAGCTTCCTCCACAAAGGACACCTCCAAAAGAGACAAAATCTCAATTGCCACCACCAATCCAAAGGTTTACGGAGTATGTTTTAGAGTCATCAGAAAATGAGAGGAAAACCCTAGCAAATAAATGAGCAACTGAATGAAAAGAAGGTAGAGGAAAACATAATGCAAGTGAAATAGAAGCACATTCAGTCCCAAATTATAGGGATACGACGAAAGATGAACCATCACACAGAACATGTTGAGACAAAAACATCATGTTAACATAAAGTTAAAAAAAATAAAATAAAATTTATTTTGAAAATATTAAAAGATTTCACTCGAAATTTAGTCTAATAGAAGGTAGTTTACAAAATGAACTTTTGGTCGCCTCAGCTAAGACAAGGCCCTTCCTAACCAACTTTCAGTGCAATATCCATCCACTGAGCATGAATGGATTCACTCGGTCGGTCTCATATTGGGATCTCTACTCATAAGCATCCTCCCAGATTTTAGACACTTTTTAGTGAAGAGCGAAGGTCTCCCTTCAAACTTCCTCAAATGGGACCAGCACATCATGGAGATCCTACTCTCGTTGAGCCACAACCATCTGAGCCAGAGTAGCCTCCACTTCATCCAGGCGATGAGTCAACATCCTTGGGGACATCCTACGTCCCTCAGCCACTTCTTCATGGGCTTTGACGGGGTCAGCCAAGCAATTGATCACGTTTCCCTTGCTAGCAACGGGAAAACTAATGTGCATGAGCCGACGCCACAGGATCAAGGCCAACTCCAGTAAGAGGTAAGCCCTCAACATGGACGTCCTCATTTGTTTGAACATACAATTGATAAAAAGAGAAAAGAATTCTAAAAAAAGCATAAGGCAAGGAAAACACTCATACTCAGAATCCTCCCCATCTCAGACCAAGAAGTTGAGAGTCCGCCCCATTCAGTATTGGGAGATTACATGCCATTACTTTCATCCTAACCAACCGCTGACCACTGTTGGTTCCTTGTTCGCAAACTGGTTGAGAGGCACTGATAGTTTCAGGCCAACTCGACAACACAACAAGAGGTTGCAAGCCTGAGTCAACAGACCAAACCCCAAACCGACAAGTTCCTTCCAAACACTGGGTCAACTCTTCTTTGGAACCTATTGGATCAAATTCGACGATTCCTCCTACTCAACCCTCTTGGACATCTTCAACTTCTTGGTGAGTTTCTTCTCCCACTTCTTCCTCGGCTCACCTTCTAGGTGACAATATTTCTTCACCTTGAGTGTACCCCACATCTTCTCTCAGTCCATGGGTTTGTGCGAAAATCCAATTTCTTCTCCATAAGGATGTCTTCGGAAGCTAAGCAAATGTAAGAAGAGACAAACACAGGATGTTGAGAATAATCCACTACGCCCTATTTGTAAGGGTAATGGGCACGAAAACCCTGAGAGTTTGATCATTTCATTAATTTATGATCGTTAAGAGTCCTTTTTGCATTAAAAATTTTCTTGTCCTCATTGTAGCTTTCACCATAAAAAGTAAGAAAATCATGAAACTAATGTGTATGCTAAAAATATGCTAGCACAAATCTCGAGATATTTTGAATAGTTCAAGAGAAAAGAAGATATGATAAGGATCCCTTTGACGAAAAACCACAAGTCCTCATGAATTTGATCGATTGATGGCCAACCCTTTTGATGAAAGGTTGGGTTTGGTGCCTTGGATAGGGCTGAGGTGGACGAGTCTCCATCATTCGGGATTTGGACGGCAGTCTTAGCCGACTGATTGGCCACTCAAGCCAATAAGATAGAAGCATCCATTTTGATCACCATGAAGGAAACGACGAACAATGGACTAATACCTCAACAATCTAACAAGTATCAACCCAAAGGTCTCTCAATAGCCCCTCCACCCCCCCCCCCCCCCCTCACACACACACACACACACACACACACAAGATCACCAAAGATCACCAATGAAAAATAATCCGGAAAGTCAATCGACCTCTCGGTAGTTGATTGGCTATCTTACTGAATAACTGACCAATTTCTCATTCAAAAGCCGACCGGTACTCAAACAAATGCTAACCGAAATTATCTTAGTTAGACGACCCAAGACTTGTCGAGCAAAAGTTCCATGCATGCAAAAAGTCCAAAATACCTTGTACAACGACTCTAAAGCAGGGGTAAAATATGTAATTTCATATTTTGTTCCTCTACCTCCCATAAATAGCGGGACAAAATCATGTATTAGAAACTTTTGGCTCTTCTTTTTAGACCCTTATTTTGTAGGGAGTATATATCTCATTCTTCTTGTAACCTCTATATTCGATATATAAAAAGAGTCACGTGATTATCCCATTTGCTCTAGAGGTTAAGCTGTTGTGCATTCCTCATCTCTCTCTCTCCCTCTCTTTATCTCTTCCTGGTTTTTAGTGCTCTATTTCTTGGCAACATCTCACATGAAAAACCTTGATACAACAAAAACAAATATCAATATGTAAAGCAAAATAACTCAAACGTATCAAATAGTCAACTGTAAAAGAATACATGTAGGCAAACTAATACAATTTATCATGTTCAAATAATGATCAAATATTGTTCCAACTTTGTTTGTTGTTTGTATGAACATATACAAACCTTATTCTTCCCATGACTAAGGGTCTGTTTGGGACAGCTTAAGATGTAGAGACAGTTTGGGACAATAAGCTGATTAAAAATAATCTGCTGATAAGCTCGGTGCGGTAGCTATTACAAATTTTTATTTTTTTGGAAAAACCAAACCGCAGACAGAAAGCTGCCACCGCACCTAGACAGGTGCGATGCAAAAATGCTGCTTTCAGCGTTTTGAAAATGCATAAGCTGCCAAAACACAGTTTACCCAAACAAGCCAGGTGCGTTTTCAAAACGCCACCGCACCAAATAAGCTGCCACAAACGAACCCTAAAACTTATTAAAATTTATTTGAATGTTATTCAAATCTTGATCAAACCTTTTTTGAACCTATTTCAATCATACTAAAATCATATTTCAACAATGCTCGGACCACAATTATACCTTATTTAACCACATTCTAGTCTTATTCAAATCACACTAAAACATATTCAAACCTTACTAAATCTTATTTCAACCATATTAAAATAATTTTTGAACTTTGTTAGGATGCTATTCCAATCATGCTGGCCTTAGTAAATATTTCTTAAATGTTTGAAACTTATTTAAATCTTGTACAAATTATATTTGAGTATTGTTTGAATATTCTTTAAACATTATTCAAATATTTATTGTAATTACAAACAAAATTTAATTTCATGCAAACAAAATAAATTATAAATAGTTTATATATTTTTATAATTATGGCTATTAAAATGCATATAGAATAGATTCTCTTAAATTTATTAGACCCTAATATATTTTTTCTTATGAGGTGGAGTGACCAACTAAACTAAAATAACAATAAAAATCTTATTAAATCATATGGAAGTTGTTGGGTAGGCCCAAATGGGATACATAAAAAAAAAATGTAAAATGATATCAAAATATATTGGAAATTTTATGTTAGCCAGAATGAAATTAGTTTGTTCATACATGTAAATAAAATTTCATATTTTAAGTCAGTTAAGTTTTTTAAATATACAAATTTATATTTTATTAAATTCATATGTTAAATTGTAGCCAATTATCCTTATAGGCTATAAAGATGTAATCTTTTCAGCCTATCTAGAAATATGTAGGTTATTATGCTATTATCTTCTCAGCTGTCTCCCGCGCGACTTCCACGCATCGAAGCTGAGAAAATGAACAGCTTTTCTTCAAGCTTGGGAGCGCGATTCCCTGCGGCATCAGGGAGGGCAACTTCTTCCCCATTGAAGAATCTCTGTGGCGGAATGGCGAGGCGGGCAAGGAGAGGCGCGCCGGTTTCTTTGCCTCCTTTTAGAGCCAAACCCTCCAGGATTGTTTGCATGGCGGTAGGTTTCTCCCTCTTGAAATCAAATCTCCTTCCGCATGTCTCATATTTTACTGATAAATTTTCAGAATTTTGCAGCTAGAATTTTCTTTAGTAGTTTGCATACTCGCTACTGATTTTGGGGATCCTTCTATGTTATGATATTTGAGTTCTATATTGAATGTTTGTGTTATTGAGTTTAATGAAGGTATTAAATAATCTGATGGATGGTAAAAGTTGCTTCGCTGTTTTGAGGGAAAGTAAAATCTCTCCATGTTTCTGTTGATGATACTGGAACTACTTTCAGATTGAAATCGAATAATGTTGTTCAGCGTGGCTAGGTTATTCATGATTTAGTTAGTTTTGTGAACTAGATTTGTTTCATCGAAACTAGCCGACCCGTCGTCGGGCCTATTGTGATCGCAATGCTTAGAAAGAGAGAGATTGCGTTATAGAACCCTATAATGAGCGAGGGAACTTGAATCTCTATTGATCTTTTAGTAAATTGAGCGCAAGGCATGAGCGACTCCTTCCTTGGAAGATATGTACTGCGAGACTAAATGGGAATCTCTACAGTCCCAAGTAACCTTATGTCCATATGGACTACCTACCTGAATAATAATAATAATAATAATAATAATAATAATAATAATAATAATAAAGGCTAGTTCTATTACGGGGGCTTATATTCTTGATAAATATGCTTTTATTGGGACACTATTGCTTGGCATGATCATTGAGTACTTGCAAACAGTTTCCTTTTGCTAGATTCTTGGCTATTACCTGGTCAACTCATAGTTGATACTCTTCTTTGGTGGCTATATATGAATGAATTAATATAGTTGAATATAAAATTATAGCCCTCAAGATTATTATTGATACTAAGATTTTTAATTTTATAAGTGCTTATGCTCCTTAAGTAGGTTTATATATAGGTTCTAAAGATAAATTCTGGAATGACTTAGAAGACTTGATGCAAATAATACCCATTGAAGAAAGATTTTTCATTGGAGGAGATTTAAATGGATATGCCATTAGAGTGGTAGAAGATTTCAGAAATATTCATGGTGGCTACAGTTTTGAAGTGATTAATGAAGAAGGTAGAGCCATATTAGTTTTTGTTTTAGCATATGATTTTATTTTTACTAATACTTTATTCAAGAAAAGAGATGACAAGAAAAGAGATGAAGAGATGAACATCTTATCACTTATAAGAATGGATCTAATAAAACACAAATTGATTACTTTCTTATAAGAAGAAGAGATCGTCGAGCTTCTAAGTATTGTAAGGTCATTCTAAATGAGGATTTAAGTATCCAATGTCGATTATTTGTTCTTGATTTTAAGATGAAGAGTTGTAAAATAATGAATACTAGGATTCATCATTATAAAATTAGATTGGTACCTAAAAAACACAAATAAAATTATTTTTATGAGTAAAATTCAAGATCTCAAAATTTCAGATATTCATGAAAAAACAAATGCTATGTGGGATAAAGTAACCAACAATATTAAACAAGCGGCAAAGATGTATTTGAAGAATCAAAAGAAAAATTTTCTATAAATAAAAATAGTTGTTGGTAGAATAATAATGTGCAAGAAAAGATTAAATATAAGAAGCTTGTTATAAAAATTAGTTTGAATGTAAAAATTTAGAGAATTGGGAAAAATATCAAACGCCCGCAGGGAGTCTAAAAGAATAATCTGTAATGCTAAAAATTTTGCTTTTAATGATCTTTTAATGATCTTTATGTAATGCTAAAAATTTTGCTTTTAATGATCTTTATAATATATTAGATACTAAGGATGATGAAAAATATATGTATAAACTAGTCAAACAAAGAGAAAAGAAAAAGTGTATTATAACTCAAATAAAGTGTATTAGAGATGAAAATCAAAAAGTACTTTTCTTAGAAAAATATATTCGAAAAAGACATTCAACATAGGTAGATGAGTTATTTTGATAAACGTTTTAATAAAGTTTCCGAAAATACGATCGAACTTAGTGATCTTAATATCGTTAATAATAATAAAACGTTTCATATTTACCATCGCATTAGTAAAGAAGAAGTTGAGGAGGCTTTAAAAAAAATCAAGGGTGGAAAGTTTGTAGGATATGATATCCCAATTGAATTATGGAAATATTTAGGAGATTTGGGACGTTCTTGGCTTACTAAACTCTTTATTATTATTTTACAAATTATCATGATGCCTAAGGAGTGGAGGAAGAGTATTTCGGTCCCCATTTTTAAGAATAAAGGGGATGCACAAGAGTGTGCAAATTATAGAGGAATTAAGTTGATGTGTCATACTTTAAAATTATGGGAGGGAAATTGAACATAGGTTAAGACGTATTACAAAGATTTCTCATAATCAATTTGGATTTATGCCGAGCAAATCTACTATGGAAGCTATACATTTATTCAGAGGGTTGATGGAGAAATTAAGAGATAATTAGGAGAATCTACATTTTTTTAATTGATTTAGAAAAAAACTTACGTTAAGATTCCAAGGATATCCTTTAGAGAGTTTTTGAGAAAAAAGACATTGATATGACTTATATTAAAGTCATTAAAGTTATGTATACTAGAGTTGTTACTTGTTTTTAGTTGTTACTTGTTTTTGTTGTTACTTGTTTTTGAACTGAAGGAGGATTGATCAAATATTTTCCTATTTTTGTTGGATTATATCAGGGATCAGCTTTAAGCCCATATATTTTTTGCTTTAGTGATGGATGGTCTTATTGGACATTTACAGGAGGATGTATATTGATGTATGCTTTTTGCTGATGATATCCTTCTCGTGGACAAGACGAGAGAAAAAAACCCAGAAAAAACTTGAATTATGGAGGTCTACATTGGAGTCTAAAGGCCTTCATTTGAGCAGAACCAAAACTGAATACTTGGAATGTAATTTTAGTAGTAGCTCTAGTGACAGAAGTGTAAATTTGGGTGATCGAATTATTAAAAGGTATGGTCGATTTAAATTTCTCGAGTCTATTGTTCAAAGCGATGGTGATATAGATGGGGATGTTAATCGTAGAACTCAAGTTGGTTGGTTGAAGTGGAGGAATGCTTCGAGCTTATTGTGTGATAGAAAAGAACCGCTTAGACTGAAAGGAAAATTATGTAAGATGGTGGTGAGACATGCAATGTTTTATGACTCTGAATGTTGACCTTTAAAAGAGAAGCATAATACTAAGTTAAGTGTTTGCCGAGATGAGAATGATTAGGTCGATGAGTGGCTTTACACTTCAAGACAAAATGCGAAATGAATATATCCGTGATAGGGTTAGTGTAGTTCCAGTGGCGGACAAAATTAGAGAGAGTCATCTTAGATGGTTTGGTCACATTAAACGTCAACCACTGATGATCCGATTAGGAGAGTAGATGTTTTATAGTCAAATTATGTTAAGAAAGGCAGAGATAGACCTAGGAAGACTTGGGCATACTGTATAAAAAATGATCTTAACTTATTAGAATTAAATGAAAATATGACACTAAATAGGATGCAATGAGAAAAATGATTCATGTAGTCGACCCCACTTAGTGGGATTAAGGCTTTGTTGTTGTTGTATTATGGTTGAACCTCTATTTAATATTGGTTGAACTTTCAAATCCTAAGCCTTTCCTTTCTCCAATTGATGGTATGGCATATTCTACAATTCACCTTGCGTGGGTACCTAGACAAGCACTCAACTCACTCATGATAACACTGAATCAAGTAAGCACTGGACGTTATGGATATACATTAATTTTCCAATTCACTTTTTTAAAAGTTCCAACAAAGTCAAAAGAATGTTATCAAGTTTCAGGCAAATCTTCTCGAAGCAAATGCTATTATGGTTAATCCATTCACATCGTGAATTTGGAGTGCGCGTGTATTAGGAAGTGATTTGCGCAACAACTTTCATTATGAAAGGTTTAAATTTTCATATTTTAAATTAGTAAGACTTTTTCTTACATTGACTTGAGCTTCACCCTAGCTGTGAGCACCTGGCTGAAGTAGGCAATCGACTGCTGGTCTTGCATGAGTACTGTTTCCAATCCGTACCCCCTTCTATCTCTACCACAAATGATCTGCTGAAATCTGGAAGTGCTAATACTGGTACACTATTCTTGGCTCTCTTCAGATGTTCAAAGTTCTATGTTGCAGCTTTCCCCCACTTGAAATTGTTTTTCTTCAACTGCTCTGCCTTTGGCCATGCTATCATTCGTACCTCTTCACAAACTTTCGGTAGTATCCGGTGAGACCTAGGAATCCCCTCAAATCCTTCAAGCTACTGGGTAAAGACCAGTCCATCATGGCCTCAATCTTGGACGGGTCTGCTGCTACTCTTGCCCTGGGCACCACGTGCCCTAGATAATTCATCTATAGCTGTGCAAATGAACATTTCTTCAAATTAGCGTACAACTGGTGCTTTCTCAATTTCTTTAGGACTGCCCTAGGTGCTCTGCATGTTCTGTCTCTGTATGACTATAGATCAAAATGTCATTGAAGAAGACCGCGATGAATTTCATGAGGTAAGGCTGTAAAGCCCTATTCATGAGGGACTAAAATGCGGCTGGGGCATTGGTGAGGCCAAATGACATCACCAATAACTCGTAATATCCTTCATGTGTCCTGAACTCTGTCTTATTCACATTCGTTGGATTCACCCCGAAGTTGATTGCCCCATAAAGCTCATATAGTAGCTCATCAATCATAAGGATAAGAAACTTATCCTATGCATTGTCATTGTTCAATGCCCGGTAATCCACGCAAGACCTCCAACTATTATCTTTTTTCTTCACCAATAGGATTGGACTGGAGAAGGGGCTCACCCTGGGTCTGATAATCCCAACCTCGACCATCTCTCAGATCAATTTCTTTATCTCATAATTCTGAATCTGAGGATATCAGTATGGTCTGAAACTGATAGGGCGATATCCTCCTTTAGTATAATGGCGTGCTTGTGTTCCCTCAAAGGTGGTAACCCTCTCGGCTGCTGAAAGATCTCAGTAAATTGTTTTAGGAGCTTCTGGAACCTACAAGGAAACTCTGCCGACTCGGGATCCCAGACCTCCTCAATGCTCTGCAACTCCACCAAATAGCCTATCTCTGCTCCCCTTATCGACTTGACCATGGTTTTGCATAAGCTACTATCTCCTCTCAGTATCACCTAGAACTCCATCGTTAGTGATTTCCAATCCACCTTAACTCAAGTTCAAGGGAAGGAAGTCCTCCACCACCTGTAGGTCATGTAGTGTCAGAACCAATCTTTTGTAAATCCCCCGACTTTTCTCCACCTTCCTTGTACCCATCATTACACCAAAGCTTCATGCAACCACCAACTTCAACCCTAACCGATCCATGGCCTAATTTGAGATGGAAGTTATGTGCGGCCTCACTATCCATTGACACCACAATCGGCTGTTCCCCGATTCTTCCCAACTTTCATAGTGTGGTTCGGAGTAAATGCCAACACTGAATTGAGGGACACCTCCACTACATCCAAGTGCTAATGGTCCTCCTCCATCGCGTCTTCCTCTGATTCCTCCACATCTGTGTCCTCCTTCTGAACTATAAAAGGATCTGAAGGGCAATCTCCTTGCAACAGTGGCCGCCTTGGGCATACTTTTTTGTCACATAGGTAAGATAATCCTTTTGTTTTTTTATCTTGTACTTCTCCATCGGTGAGACGCTTGAAATTGCCCCTAGAGCTGGTCCTGTATTATTCTTCTTTGGGGTTTCTTTCTGAAACGATACCGTCTAGGTCATCGGTGACGGTGTTGTGGCCTTCGAGGCCACTTTTTAGAATCCTCCAGTGTTACCGCCTTTGCTTGTCTTCTTGACTTTTTTCTCATCTTCAAGCATCTAGGTGAGCTCCATTATCTCCCTCAATCCACGCGGTCTCAATGGTCGGATGACGGCTCAAATGTTAGGCTTTAGGTCTTCAAAAAGTTTCCCTTCAATCCTGCCGCCGAAATATCCCTCAGCCGCCCCGACAAGAGCTCTAACCTCTCCCTGTATTCTGTGATCATCTCCTTCTGAGTCAGAGCATAGGATTGCTCCCGTAAGTTTTTTTCTCAGATGGCTTAGAAACGTTCTAACAAGCAATCTTTAAACTCTTCCCACAAATATATAGAATACCTGGCCTCCATCCGCTTGAACCATGCTTGAGTCTTTCCCTCCAAATATAATCTTGCCCCCATGAGCTTCTCTTGTTTAGTTAACCTATTTACTGTAAAGTATCGCTCCACCCGATACACCCATCCACTTATATCTTCTTCTTCGAGGATCGACATCTTAAGTTTTTTGAAGTTTGCATCGCCACCCCAACTTCATCGTCCTCTGGTGTTTCCCCTTATGTGTCTAAGATAAAACTCTCTTCTTCGGCCATGGCCATACCCCACTCCCAATTCCTTCTGCGTGCTCTTCCGTGCTCCTTGCACCATCCCTCCTCTAATTTTCGGTCCAACCCCCTCCATCAGAAGTCTCCACTCCCCCTCTTCTCAGAGTCCCAGGTCGCTCTTGGTGGTAGATGATGTCCTCCTTGTTGTTCTCTCATTCGATCTCCTTCTCTTTTGATTAGGCAAAGGATTCCCTGATTAACCATTGGTTAGGGACCTTGGATTGTATCTCCACGCGCCTCTTCATCATCTCTCGCATTTCTCTTATGCTCTCGAATCTGTCTTCCATTCGGTTCTCTATGGAAAAAAATATGTTCTTTGTGGCGACGAACCTTTCTTCCATTCTCGATCAGATTTGCCCTACTTCTCCTTCCAGCACATCACTTTCTCATTCTTCCAAGATCTCGCTTTGATACCAATTTAATACGATTTTAAAGAAAAACAATGAACAACTAACAAATAGATTGCACTATAGAGCTAATAAAACTCAAATGCAAAATCAATGAAAGCAAACAAGATACAATGATGATCTACTATTCAAGAGGAAGATCGTCTCTCCACAAACCCAAGACGCCGTTAGGAATACCATGAGAAAGTAAGAACAATTGCAGCCAAGCGAAACATACCCCACCCTAACTTCTTAGCTTTTCAAACATACCCAATACTCTTAAAAATTTCCCCCAAAACTCCTAGAATTTCTCCTCCTTGTGTACGTGAGACCTAGTGGGCGCACCTGGGGCCTGGAGTATTCTGCGGCGGCCTTAGGATTTTTCCGCCTCGTTTAGCTGAACCGGCCGACCACTAGAAGGCTGGAGCAGTTTGCTTGGCTGGTCTAGACTGGCATTGTCTGGGCCGGTTTATTCCATGGTGTAACACACCTAAACTTCAATTTTTACATGCATACCTCCTTACCTATGTATAAGCCCTATTTCACCTTTTAAAAATTAAAATGGTGGTATTTTTCATATGATATGAAAGATTTGGGTGGTATGAATGTCAAAAGCAAAGTTTAGGTGTTAGATATTTAAATACATAGGAGTTGAGTGGTAAATATATAAATGCCCCTAAAATAAATTTAAAGGTGTAGATTGTTATATTGAAATTATTATTTAACGCTAGGGGATGGAAATCTTTATTTAAATGAATGGTTGACTTTCTCCTTGATAGAATAAAAGTTCCTTTTGGTACTGGTTCAGATAAACATACACAGATAAAAATTACTGTAACGATTCATCTTAAAATTTACTTTTCTTTATAAACATTTTCGATAAGAAATGACATTGTGACAATATTTATGGTTTAATTCTAATCTATTTAGATATCCAACTCCTAAACTTCACTTTTACATATATGTCACCTTACCTATGCATTAAAAGATGTATTTCACTTATTTAAAATTAAAATAGTGGTATTAGGAGGTATAAATGTAAACAATCAAACTTTAGATGTTAAATATGTAAATACATAAAAATTCGGTGGTATGTATGTAAATGGTCCTTCATATTAATCATGAAGTATCCTTAGATGTATCCAAAATGCTGTAAATGACATGCTTGCCATATACTATTAGTATGAAACATATCTGGTCTGCCGCAACACAAGTAAATTTGTTAGATTGTTTACTTGCGGTAATTTAATGACACTTAAATTTGTTGATTTACCTCTAACCTCATTACTGTGACAGAGCATTAGTCAATGGATCTTAGTGAAACTCTAGAAAGATTAACAAGCTGTAATCTAAATGATAATTCTTTTTCATTATCAGTACCATCAGCATTATGCCTTCTGTTTGTGGTTAGTTTTGTGTATTCTTCATCATTAATTTTTGTTGGAAGATTGACATGCATACCACCTAATTTCTTTAAATTTACATATTTGACACCTAAACGTCAATTTTCTAAATTTCAATTTTTGCATACATACCACTTTACTATGCATAAAAAATTGTATTTCACATTTTAAAAGTTAAAATTGTGGCATTTTTAATGTGATATGAAAGAGTTGGGCGGTATAAATGTAAGAAACAAAATTTAGGTGTTAGATGTGTAAATACATAGGAATTTGGTGGTATGTGTGTAAATGTAACTGCCCCATTTTTGCTCTATTTTATATATGATTCTAATTACTGTTTCTATGCTCCCGCTGAAAATGTTCTACCCATCTGTCTTTATGCATCTTTGGTGACCATGCTTGAACATCTTCTCTTTCAGATGATATCTTTTTTCTGCTGTGCTATTTTATAGGTTTTGATGTGTTGAATGATTAAGTGAGCAACCATCTTGCTTTGGACTTTCTTGCCATATTTCTTGGTTTTTCAATTATTAGGGGGCTGTTTGGGCTCACTTTTATTTTTTATTTTCTATTTTTGATTTTGATTTTTTTCATTTATGCTTTAATTTGAAACAAAACATATTTGACATATTTTATTAAGATATGATCTTTTTTAAAATACAATCAAAACATCTTAAAGTTGTTTTGACTTTTGAGTGTTTTAAAAAAACATGTTAATTTGTTTTTAGGAACAAGAATAAAATTAGATAAAAAATATAATAAACATGTATGTTTTTAAAAGCAAATGAAAAAGCATAAGCAAAAATAAAAAATAAAATTGATCCCAAATATATACTAAGTTTTTGCTTCGCTCTTTGATGAGCATCAAAATTTATTTATGTTCTGAAGATTTTAATGATTTTTTTTCTTTGTTTACCTTTTGGTGAATTACAAGTAAATGAGCACCTCTTTCTCAATGAGGCTATGATGCTAAGTGTAGTTTGTCTTTATTAGCATGATGGATCATGCCTCAATGCTAGCACGGATATAATTTACCAGACATGATTATCATAAACATGTTTTAGTGACTTTGAATTACTTATCGACCACTTTTTATAATGTTTTATATTAACCTTTTATAAGGAGACCTAAAATTATTGGCTTCCTGCACAGGCACCTTATTTACTCACGAAGTTGGAGTCCGCAGAGAAAACGTGGAAAGAGTTGTCAGTATGTGCTAGCAAAACATGAATTTTTATTTGTTTTTCCCTTTTATGGCTTTTTGGTCTTTTTACGTTCATGTATCTTTGCTTTATTTGGGTATTGTGTGTGTTGTATTGTGTGAGTTAGGCTTTCTTTTAGGCTCTCTCATACAACATTTCTGTATCTTTTCCGTATTAATATATTTTACCTTGGGCACTTATATATATATATATATATATATATATATATATATAGATAGATAGATAGATAGATATAGATAGATAGATAGCAATTGGAATGAATGAAAAGTTGGCTTTTGGGATCATGACTCGACATTTTTCATTGTAAATGTTAATTGTCAAAATGTCATAAAAGGTAAGATTGAATTGGCTGATCAGTATGAGTGATTTTTCAAAAAATGTTACTAATAACCAGTAAAACTGACATTTAGTTTCCTAGTTATCTTGATACTAACTATTTTACTCGTGCTATTTAGTATTTTTTACTATTATCTTACCGTTTTGATTATTTGTCTCTCCTTTCCTTCTCGGGAGAACTCAGAAATCAAAACTAAGCTGCGATATAAATATATGGCTTTGCTTGCTCAAGCTAGGAGAACACGACTGGTAGAACTGGATAAATTATGTTACCATTGCAAAGAAGAAAAGTTTGACTTCCCGAAATAAAAAGAGAAGAAACCGAACAGGCCAAATGAAGCGGTAGGAAAATGATTTAATGAGTGCTGTTATAATCCAGTTAAAAGTCACAGTTCATGTTATTGTTTTTTCATTGAAATTAAGCGTTGGAGATGCCAATTGTCTTCCAGTTGGTATATTCATGAAGCAGTTATCTTAGCTACTTGTAGGTTTATGATTTTTTCTTTTTTAGTCCTTGATTCATACCACAACACTAGTTGAGCTCTTCCAAATTCTCTCTCTCTCTTCGTTAATCTTTTAGTATATAATCTTTTGAACTGAATAAACTAGCTGGGGCGAACTTCAAATGTTTGTATATGAGTATTTATGTCGTGTAGCTATCTAAGACTTTCTTCTTAAAGGCATTCAAATCCGGATTTTGAGATTTTGATTGATGTATTATGCAATGTGATTGATAAGAAGTTAGCCTTCTACACGAATGTTTGTTATTTGCTAATTGTAATATTATAATATCATCTGTTATTTCTTCTTATTTGTATGAATTTATTGTCTGCTTTCACTCCAAAGAAACCATAAGGTCTAATGTAGAGCTCCAAGTTTTCAACTTTGTTGAGCAATAAAATCAAACTAGTAATCTAGCAATGTTGTTATTTACTAAAGTAATTTATCAGGAGAATTATTTTGTATCTTTTAATTTTTCTATTTGGCACATTTGAATGGGTCTATAGTTGTTCAGGGTTAGGTGAACATGGCTATTATGTACCATAATCATAATACTGAAATATGTGATACTATACTATAACATGTTATACCATCCAATTCAAGGTAGGTTTGTAGATATACTCTATTTCCTTAGTTTGAACCAAATATAAGATATATTGGGTCATGATGTTTAATATGAATTTTTGGTATGTGCTGATCAATTCTTGGTATCAGAAGTATGACTTTGGAGAACAATTCTTAGATTTTGTATATATTAGGATGCCATTAGTAGGCGTTAGGTCTATTTATGGGCTATTTTAACCATCTTTCTCTTTTATTAGAATGTTATGCTGATGCAAAATAATTTCTTTTATAAATGAAATCTTCTTTAGGTACTAGAGTCCTTGATTCCTTGAATTAGGCTTCAAGAGAATTTATTGATGCGTGCCTTGCCATTAGCTCTTTTTTTATCCGTTTTTTTTTTTTTTTTTGAATCTCCTTTCGTCTCTGTGTGCCTTTTTTGATTTGTTCTTTGAAGGAGAGATTGTAGCTTTGATGAGGTCATTAATGTGCTGACTGCAGAGAACAAACATAACTGTGTTGCAGCCAGCATATATTTCTATGCAACCCACCATCAGGAATGCAAAAAGACATGGAAAACCTTTATGCACACCTACAATTATTGCAGCCACGATCTTGGAATGTCTCACAACAATGTCCTACTTTCTTATCCAGGAGCACTAGACACTGGTTAGTCTTTGAGACTGATTTACCCTTCTTTCTAATGCCCCCACCCCCTCTAGGATGGATCAAAACGAATGTTGATGGAGTTCCTTCCCTCTTATCTTGCTAGCATCAGTGTTATTATTCGTGATGACCAAGGCCATTACTTAGCTGCCACTGGACAACGTGCGCTTCACCAGGATAGTGCTCAAATGCCATTCGTTATATAAAGACATTATAGGGGATATTAGGAATATCTTCTCCCTCCTTAGACACTCCACAGGGATGAAATTTTGGCAGAACCGACCCAGCAGAGTCTTGATCTTGTTTTTTGACACAATTCAGACATGTTATCTTTTGTCATTCTGCTAGAGATAACAATAGAACAACTCACCATTGTGCATTGATTGCCTTACAGGATAACTTTTGTATTAGAAATAGAATTATAGATGATAGAGATTCTTTTTTTGCTTTTTTTAGGAATGATAGGTCTCATTTTGTATATGCATAGTGATACACTTTACATAATTTTGTATTTTTTTACCTTTTAATGAAATATATGCAATATTTCAAGGAGAGATTGACTGTTCTGTCCCCTTTACGAAATTAAAGGAAAAAAAAAGTATCATCACCCCACGCCCCAATTTTCAATTCTTGATTCCATCATATGCCTTGATCGCTAAAGGCTTTTCTTATCTCTATTTTGTTGTTGCTCCTCACACACACACACACACAATCTCTATTTTTTTTTCTTCTTAATATCGATAATTTTTTTCTTCGAGAATAAGTTATTGACATTGTGTAAGATATATAAAACAACCTCGCCACCTTACATAATTCTCATACTCGTATTTCTTGGCTCAATGAGGAATTTATTTTGTTGTTATTTTGTATCTCTTTTGTGTAGAAAACCTTCTCAAAATGTACATACATGCTATTCATGGAATGGTTGACACAAATACACTTGTCCAACACTTCACACACTGCCTATATGCATATTTCTTGATGCAGTTATGGACTTAATTTTTTGAGTAGGTGTCTCGTACATTGTTTATGCGCACATTTTTTGGCGTGGTGGGAGGGCTCTATAAGTTAATCGGTATCCCTTCTAGAAGGGAAAATAGCCTTTGAAATCTACCTGATATTCATCTTAAAAGGTCGAACCTAAAAGACTTTTGGTAGTAAACTAGTGCAACAAAAATAAAATTGGTGGGTGAAATTGCGAAATATAAAACAGACTTCTAAAATGTGCTACAGGTCATGTAAAGGTCAAAAGTGAAAAAAAAGACTTACATGAACTTTGGAAACTCGCCAATGAATGCATGAAAAAAATAAGCTTGTTCATATGAACTGAAATGTGAAATAAAAATGACATGCGGTGCACTTATATCTATAGATATAAGTTCTTCCCTTGTGGCACCGGCCCATGCATCAACATGAATAAAATGTAAACAAAATTTTACCATTCAAGCATTTATGAAAACTGGAAGCTTCAATACATACTAATAAGCAAACTTGTAAGTAAGAAAAAGATATGCGTGTTTATTTTTAAAAAAATGTGCAAGTGAATCATATGCAAAAATTATGCATGATTCCAAAGCCGTGTGCACATTCTGATAATGGAGCCACCAGAGAAGTCCAAAAAAAATTTATGAAATAAAATTCAGTGTAAATTCTGTCATTGCAAAAAGCCTTCACGCACATAAAAAATATGCCAAATCCCCAAAATGCAAAATCTGGTGCACATTTCATGAACAAGTTTGTGTTGCGGTGCTTATTAGCTCAGTTATGAGAAAACATAAAACAATGAAAATCATAGTAGCTTCAAAGTGTTGTAAGCAGTCCTTATAGAAATCATACTCAATTATGCACGAAAAGTTTGTTTGTGTATTGAAAATTCGTTTCCATTAGCTCGTCTTTATGCTACCCACACATGTACTCGATCAGGTTGAGAGGATATGGAATAGTCCTAACTTTTTGTGATTTGTTCTGAATAAAAAATGAACTAAAGCAAAGAAACATGAGATAAGATAAGCAAATTCAAGAAATACTCATTAAAAATGAAATTATATAAAAAAATTCAAGACCAAAAAAAGTTATATTGAGCAATTGTGGATCATCATACACTCATTTCAAGGCACGTGTTTCTTTTTTTTTCCCCTAAAAAATAAAAATAGCATGTAAAAAAATCTCAAAGATTATATCGGAGGCCACAAACATCGAGAAAGTACGGAAATTAATTTTCAACTTGATCCTCTATGTACCAGGGTAGGTAGACATGATTCACCCAATAGCTATCCAAGCCCCAATCTTCTACATAAGGGTTGGGGTAGATATTGCTTAAGGCTCTATAGTTCAAAAGCCAAGAGTAGAGTCAATAGGGCCCATGTCTTGACAATGTTCCAAGTGAAAAAAAATTAATTACAATAATCAATATTTTACAACCTGAACCTCCACATGGTTCTGATCGTATTTTGTGCTATACCCTTAATGGTGGGTACATTTAATAATAAATATATTTGGATTAGATCTTGAGATAAAAGGGCTTTCTCAAATTTGAGAATAAGTATGCTTCAGGTTTTTTTCTCAATGATGAACATATATGAAGCAAAATCATTCTTGTAGAGAACTCTGCTAAAATTTTCATATATACAGAAATGAAAAAGTAAAGAAGAAAATATATAAAAGCAATAGTTGACTTTTTTTTGCTCACAACAGTCATCCATTATTCTCCACACGATTTTGTCAAGGATGACTGTCGGCCATTTTATTTTAAACTTTATGATTTTTTAAAAAGGAGATAAGTTTTATAAATATGAAAATAATTTTGATGTAAATATAATTTTTGAAAGTAACATTTTAATTTAAAAATAGATGAGACCAAACGAGTCTCACATTATGGATAGTTTGGATGACTAAGCACGATATCACGAGTAATATACTTAT